AGGACTAGATCCTTCTCAGTGGCGGCCCCTGCCTGGTGGAATGAGCTCCCGGAGGAGATCAGGGCCCTGCGGGACCTGGTGCAGTTCCGCAGGGCCTGCAAGACGGAGCTCTTCCGCCAGGCTTTCACGTAGGGGCCGCCGCTGCCGCTGCCACCATTACCATCAACGGTGGTAAGAACACCGAAGTTGGGAGTGTCCTTGAGCGTAGTGCTACTAGAAATTTGGATTTTACTGGATTTTATGTGGTTTTATGTTTGGGCTATGCCCCTTGTAAGCCGCCCTGAGCCCGCTTGCGGGGAGGGCGGGGTAAAAATACTTAAATAAATAAATAAATAAAATAAATAAGCCAACTTTTGCGATCTCCTCTTTCACCCTGAATATGAGGCTCTTTAGATCCTCTTTACTTTCTGCCATTAGAGTGGTATCGTCTGCATATCTGAGGTTGTTGATGTTTTTCCTGGCAATCTTAATTCCGTTTTGTGATTAATCCAGGCTGGCATTTCACATGATGTACTCTGCATATAAATTAAATAAGCAGGGTGACAATATACATCCTTGTCGCACTCCTTTTCCTATTCCATATCCGGTTCTAACTGTCGCTTCTTAACCCTTACACAAGTTTCTCAGGAGACATGTGAGGTGGTCTGGTACTCCCATCTCTTTAAGGACTTGCCACAGTTTGTTATGAAAGGATTTAGCATAGTTAATGAAGCAGAAGTAGATGTTTTTCTGGTACTCCCTTGCTCTCTCCATAATCCAGCAAATGCTGGCAATTTGATCTATAGTTCTTCGAAACCCATCTTGTACTTTTTGTTGTTGTTCAGTCGCACAGTCGAGTCCGACTCTTCGCGACCCCAAGGACCAGATCACGCCAGGCCTTCCGGTCTTCCGCCGTCCTCTGAAGTTTGCTCAACTTCATGTTTGTTGCATCTATGACACTGTCTAACCATCTCATCCTTTGCCGTCCCCGTCTTCTTTGACCTTCAATCTTTCCCAGCATCAGGGTCTTCTCCAGTGAGTGCTCCCTTCTCATTTGGTGGCCAAAGTATTTGAGCTTCAGTTTCATTATCTGGCCTTCCAGGGAACAGTCAGGGTTGATTTCTTTTAGGATTGACTGATTTGATCTTCTTGCAGTCCAAGGGACTCTCAAGAGTCTTCTCCAGCACCATAGTTCAAAAGAATCTATTCTTCGGCACTCGGCCTTTTATAGTCCAACTCTCACAGCCATACTTGTACTTGCACCATCAGTATTCCACTGACTTTCCAAAAGCTGTGTATTTCCATTGTAAGCATAAACAATGTCTATGCTTGTAGCCGCCGCCACGTCCTGCAGCAGTGAATCCCATGTGTTAATTACTCTTTGGGTGAAGAAATATTTACTTTTATCTGTTCTAAACCTGCTGCTCATTAATTTCATTGAGTGCCCATGAGTTCATGTATTGTCAGAAAGGGAGAAAAGTACTTCTTTCTCTACCTCTATCCCATGCATAATCTTATAAACCTTCCTGTAACTTTGGAAATTGTCTTTGTGAACAACATTCCTAATTATGGTATTGCAGTAATGTTGTTGTTGTTCAGTCGCACAGTCGAGTCCGACTCTT